GAGTAGCTGGGACTAAAGGCATGAGCCACCATGCCCGGCTAATTTTTTTTTTTCTATATATTTTTAGTTGTCCAATTACTTTCTTTCTAATTTTTAGTAGAGACGGGGTCTCGCTCTTGCTCAGGCTGGTCTTGAACTCCTGACCTTGAGCGATCCACCCGCCTCAGCCTCCCAGACTGCTAGGATTACAGGTGTGAGCCACCGCGCCCGGCCTGAAATCATGATTTTAATGGCTACTTAACACAAAATTTATTCAGCCAATCAAGTCTGGGGATTTTCTAAATTAAAACTGTCAACCACAAATTGAAGCCCCATAGGTTAAGAAGCTGACTTCAAAATCTGCCAGAGAGTTTCTCTGCAAAAATCTCAAGTTACAGTTTAAAAGCACTAGAGCCTTCCAACCAAAAATTCTATGAAATTCACTGAATTTTAGCCATGAAGGATGTTTACTGAAGACCATATTCTCCCAAATAGACGACATCATTAACATAGTTTTAAGGAAGAAATTGAATAAGTACCAAAGATTGAAGTGGCGACAATGAACAAGAACTAATAAGTATCTACTGCAAGAATTATTGACTATCTACAATTTTTTCAATAAAGCAAAATAAGAGAATGTATGCATCTATTACTTGTATAATTAAGTGTTCAAATGGATACACAAAAAGTAATTATAGAAAAATGCACATAAAAAAAGAATGGAAGCAAATATGACAAAGGGTTAATAGTTATTAAGTCTAGAATATGACATTATTCTTCAAACTTTTCTATACTTTAAATTTTTCTAACAAAATATTAATGTTAAAATATTAGTCATGTTAATGTATATTTTCATTATTAAAGTGGAAGGAAATTGATAAGTAAAATAAAACTATTTTAAACTAAACGGCAATGTTTTATGTTGGAAATAAGTCTGAGGAGGGATCAGCTTTTGGACTTTATAGCTGTGCTTCCTTTAAGTACTATCCTACCTAAAAATGATATTTTTCCATTTCATCAAAAAGGTTATTTTAATAGTTAAGCAAATATTATAAAAACTGGAAGACTGCATTTCAGTTTCTGACTCTTCTTTACTTTATATGCCTAAGGCTTTCCCGATGCTAGACATTTTTTTAAAATTCCAGTTTCTAACATCCAAACTTAGTTCAGATGACAATTAGAATTTGCCACTGGATGAAATGCCTTACTGAACACAGATAGTTGCAATTTCCTATTAAGTAAGGTCCCTGGCAGAAAAAAATAAAATAAAATAAAGAATAAAAAGTTACAGAATAAACCAAGTCTTTATATTAGTTCTCACAAACAAAAATTTCAAATAAACGTAAATTTTTAAAATTGCCCCACTTTCCCCAAATGTAGCCTTAGGTTGTCTTAACATTTCGACAGCATCCCCCTCACCCCGCTACTCCAGTAATCAGTTCTCACCTTTCCCTGCTGGAACGCAAGAATTTTTCAGCAAACGTGACTCATTCATTGGCATCTTGTCAAACTAACCCTGAAACTATAAGGAGGCTCAGCGCTAACAGAATTCTAAAGCTAGAACACTTTCACTAACACACATCATTTTGACTTTAGAGAACTGAATCACATTTCAGAGCCAAATACATACTAACCAACTCTGTTTATATTTTTCCTTACAAATTGTTCTCCACCATCCCACCTCCTCCCAATTTTAGTTTGGCAATTCCCTAATCTAAAATACCTCCTGTCTGTGGAGAAGACAAGATGGGGAAGCATAAGAATAGGAGGGAGGAGTAAAAAGCAGTTGTTCATGCAGCTTGTAAGAAGATGCTATTCTGAAACATTAACAACTCATATCTATTCCACATAGTTCTCAAGGTTTATTTTTCCCCTCAGTTAAATGAAAACACAATACAAACACAATAACAATTCTCCAGGAATAAATTACTCTCACTATTATTATTTCACTAAATAAAAGTTAAAAAAAAAAGCAGTTATTGACAACTATTTAGTCAAAAATCTTCAATAAGATGTCACCAGCATGAACTATCAACTACAAATCACCTTATTCTTTTGGTTCATACACTCACCTATTCCAAGACAGAAAACTGCACTTTTTAATCAGAGGGAGAGTGGTGGGAAAAGAACAAGAAAGCAAATACTTTGTCAGATTACCACAGACATTTACTTACAGCTCTATCAACTGTCACACTCCACCTGGTGGCAGGAGCTGCCTGAACTGGTGAAGTGGAGGTCATTATACAAATAATTCCAAAGAATATTTTTCACATGTCCTTAGCGTAAGTCTAACAAGTTTTCACCAAAGTGTGTTTACATAATAGTTGGTCGATATCTAGTAGAGATTAACATAAAGGTATGATGATACTCAGAATGGAAGACCTACGTTTAAAGCAATCTACTTACAACTATTCTCCCCACAAAGATTAGATGTCAGCTCAAGCCTTTAAGACAGGTAACAAGATACAGACAGCAGCTACCTGATTCTCTATCACATACTCCCACTAACTTTCTTTACCCTTTTCCCCTATGGGTAAACTATAGAGTTTAATTAACACAGTCAACGGCAGCGTGCCACATTGCTTTTAGATATTTGCCAGTAACATATACCCATGGGATACTCCAGAGACTGATTTCAACCAAAAATAAAAATAGATAAACAGAGCTCAAGCAAAAATAAAACTGAGTCTGGCTGCCCACACTTATTTTCACACATGAGGAAAAATAGCAGTTCTCTTAGAAGCCTCCAGCAGACATATCTTTAGAACACAATGTTAAAAATATGCCCCCCACCCCTTTCCCCTACCTGTTTCTCACTCAAAGCTGTGATTTTGGCTTGGAGTTCATGAAGCTGTTTCTTTAAGTCAGCATTCTGATTGGAAAGAAAAAATATCTGTGAGAAAGATATTTCATTTGTTAACAGAATAGTAGCAAGAGGACTATGCATACTGTATTACAAATGACGAAGCAACCGTAAGCATTTAGCCAATCAAATTTGTCATGCATTAAATCGTAGTCATACCACCACCACCTAATGCATAGATCCTAAATGCAGGCTTCTAGCACTAAAACAGGGGCAGCTTCTTTGCAATTGTTTTAAATTACAAGAAGTTCTATATTTTAGCATCTTGCACTGTAATAGTACCTGTCTACTAAAACATTGTTATTCTTTATAGAAAGTATCAGTTGACGGAAAACCTAGAGCTGCACTAATCAGACAAAAGTAGGAAAATGGAGGTTATAACTACACATACACTGCATGCTTAGTGGCATTATCAACAAAGATTAAGAGGTTTTTCTCCACTTGCCCTCTCCCTTATTTAGCAAAGTACATTTGTTATTTTAGCCTAGATCTGAAAAGCTGTCAGTACTGCAACTGCCTTAACGCTACATCATTCAAATTAACACACTGACTACCAGGGCATTTTCTCAGTTCTAAAATTCTAGGAATCAAAAAAAGAATACTATTTTAGATGACATACACTGAGCATGCTTGCCTTTTACTCAAGTGGGCAAAAAAATTCCAAAATTAAAATTTTCAAAAGTTTAATGTAGCAGGACAGCCTACCAGCAGACTGAATGCCACCGCAATGAGACTGCTTTTATTGATCGTCTCACATATAGTTATTTCAATTTACCCTGCCTGGTCTTCTGTCAGGGTTGGAGCACACATCCTCCCCCTCTATTGAGTTTTATTTTTATTCCATTTGGAATTTCTTTCTTTTTTTTTTTTTTTT